ATGCTCTAAAATCTTGGAGCTACACATCAAAATCGGGTTATTTATTGGGCAAGTCTGTCATCTCTCTGACTCAAGTAGAAAGTTTCAAATGGACCACTCATGTATGGAAAGTTTGTACTTCACCTAAGTTGAGGATGTTCCTTTGGAAAGCTACCCGGAATGCTCTTCCAGTGGGGAAGGCTTTGGCTTGTCGTGGTATGAATGCAGCTGCAGTGTGTAAGAGGTGTGGAGAAGAGGAAGACCCATTGCATGTTTTTTTCCTTTGCTCCTTTGCGAGAAAGGTATGGGACTTAGCTCCTGTCCTAGGCCTTCCTAACCCGTTGACAGTGAACTCACTGCAAGATTGGTTAGTTCAGGCCAAGAAGTTGATCACTCTTCCCCCGATTGGCCTTTGTCTTGCTCCTCTATTCCCTTGGCTCCTCTGGTTTATTTGGAAAGCCAGAAACCTTCTAATTTTTGAAGACAGGAGCTGCTCTGAAAGTGATACGGTTCAGAAGGCGATCTTGGAGGCAAAAAGCTGGCAAACTGCAAAGCTACAGGCCCAAAAGAAATTGCATCATAAAGGCAGAGAAAAGGGTGTGATTCATAAGGAGGCTGCGGTGTGTTTCTCTGATGCTTCTTGGCTGTCGCCTTCGATGGCCTGTGGCCTGGGATGGATAGTTAAGAGTGCGCAATTGACTGAGATCCAAAGGGGATCTTTATCTCGACCCTCTGTTTCCTCTGTTCTTGTAGCAGAGGCACTTGCCTTGAAAGCGGCGATTTCGGCGGCTTTGGCGTTGGGTGTTTCTAGATTGGCCTGTTTTTCGGATTGTTTAGAGCTTACTACCCTGCTCAATTCGGATGGTCAATCAATCTCTATCGATGGTATTTTGGATGACATAAGAGATCTCTGTTCTGCTTTTGTTTCCTGTACCTTTCATCATATTTCTCGTTCAGACAATGTGGAGGCCGATGCTTTGGCCAAGACTGCTCTTTCATGTTGTAACTTTCCCCCCGTTTTGGGAGTTTGATTTTAATCTAAGTTCTGTTTTCAAAAAAAAAAAAAAAAAAAAAAAAAAAGAAATGGAAACAACCTCGTAGATTATTGCAAAGGAATTTCTTCCAAAAATAATAATATTTGAGATAATTATAAGTGAAAGTGTTTACCACCATCTCACGAGCTCAATCCCCAATTTATAATTGACAACTTGTAATGCACGTGATTTTATTTATTGTCAAATAAAGAGGGCGATATTAACTATGCCTACCTCTAGCCCAACCCAG